CTACTAACAATAGAAAAATTAGCTGGGCATCATGGTGCATGCCTGTATTCCTAGCTACTTGGGAGGCTGAGACAAGAGGATTGCTAGAGCCCAGGAGTTTGAGGTTGCAGTGAGCTACAATGATGCCACTGCACTCTATCCAGAGTGACAGAGTGAGACTCTGTCTCAGAAAATAAATAAATAAATAATAAAAAAATAAATATATAAACATATATCCCCTAACTCTAAGGTCCTATGCAAATATAAAAACCTACCTTGCCTTAAAGGGTGTTGACCAAGAAGGTTCCTAAAGGACATCAGCACAGCAGGCATATGAAATTGTTGGTGTTCTCTCAGTATTGGTCATCTATCCGAGTGCTAAGGGGAGCAGTAGTGACTCTGTTGGATGGTTTTTTGGGACAGGATTTCTCAAAGATGTGGGTGGGAATGATTTGTGGTGGTTGCAAATCAGTCTGAACTCTGGAGAAAGTGCATTAGTTGCACTGGCTTAGCTTGATCTATAGACTGCAAATTTACTAGTTTGGAAAAGGGAAAGTTAAAAAGTTAAGAGGAACAGCTGTCTGCATTTATCCTTAACTCATACTCTATCACCTATTCCCCAAGAAAGCATCAAACAAATTCTTTATTTCCTAGTGGAAGTATGAATTTAAACTACTACCTGGGTCTTATTTGAGTTATAATAAATTGTTAAACATATCTTAAGTATCCATTCTGTGCTTAGCACTGTGCCGTATCCTATGAGTGATACCAGAGAAAACCAAGTTACTGACTTGGTTTCTCTCTAGGAAATTCCAATCTAGTTGGGAGGAATCAGAATTCAATAACATTATGGGATGTTCAAGGCAGCACAGGGTAAATGCTAAATGAGTAGAACATTTAATAAGTGTTGAGAATTCAGAGGAGGGAAAATCGTTTTGGATAAGGTAGTAAAACAGCGTAAGGAAAACTAAAAAGAACAAAATGACTATCATCTGTCATATCATAGAACAAAAGGGACACTTTTTTTAATCAGAAAAATGTGTGCTAGGGAGTTGTTCCAACTACTTATTGCTGCATAACAACATCAAATTTAGACACTTAAAACAATAACAATCATTTTCTTATCGGTCATGGTTTCTGTGGCACAGGAATTTGGGAAGGGCTCAGCTGGGTGGCTCTGGCTTGGAAACGCTCATGTGGTTGCAGTCAGACAGTGGCTGGACGTGGAAAAGTTGGGGGCTGCAGAAGCTGGGGGCTGGCTGGGCACCTCTCACTCTTTTCATGTAGTGTCAAGGCTTCTCCATGTGATCTTCCCTATAGGTTAGTGTGGGCTTTCTCACAGGCAGGGATTTGGAGAGAGCCACTGTCACATGTTGGATTCCACGGGAAGCAAACTCTGAGATGGAAATACCATTCAGGCCAGGCACAGGGGCTCATGCCTGTAATCCTATCACTTTGGGAAGCCAAGGCAGGAGGATTGCTTGAGGTCAGGAGTTAGAGACCAGCTTGAGCAAGAGCAAGACCTCCCCCACCCCATCTCTACTAAAAATAGAAAAATATTAGAAAACATTAGGTGGGCATGGTGGTGCTCACCTGTAGTCCCAGCTACTCAGGAGGCTGAGGCAGGAGGATCGCTTGAGCCCAGGAGTTTGAGGCTGCTGTTAGGCTGACACCATGACACTCTAGCCCAGGCGACAGAGCGAGACTCTGTGTCAAAAAAAAAAAATAGAAATACCATTCAGGATATTTATTATTGAGGAATATTGAGACCAACACCAGTGGAGGGAAGGAGAAAGAAGTACGATTAAACAGAGGGAGAAATTAAATGGTGATAACAGTCCTAACAAAGGCCTCAGCTGACCCCACAGGGTGCTCTGGAGTTGGGATGACCCTTCACAGTTTGTCTAAGTTTGGGCAAAAGGGCAGGCTGGGTCTTTATACTTCTGTGTTGATCAGTCATTGGATGTGGGCTCCCCCTAGAAGGAGTTATAACCTTGAGCAAGGCAATTTTATTCAGCTGAGGCAATCCGCTACAAAAACTGACAGCTTAGCATCATCTTTCAGCAGTACTCCGGGCAGCTAGGGGAGTAAGTCTTTCATTCCTGAAGGAAAATCTGAGTGGTACATTCAAGTGTCCACCACAGCCCTGATAGGATCTGTGGCTTTCAGTAGAGGGACTGAGGCATCTTGTAAGGACCTGGCAGAGAAGAAGTTGGGGGAATAAATACTCCAATTTCTCTTTACTCCTGACTTCTGATTTCCTATCAGAACCAAATCCAGGAAGCCATAGGAATTTACACAGTCAACGTGAGTTTTGGGTTACAGAGCAGGATGGAGAAGGGTGAAGGTGGAATTTAGAGGTTCAAACAAGATATTCAATAGCAGAAGATGAACTCAGTTTTTGAATGTTAAAGACAAGTTGAGTTTGACAATATCCTGATGCATGCTTCTTATTGGTGGATTGAAGGAGTTTTCTGACTCACTCTCTCACTCATTCCACTCCTTCTGATTACCTAACCTTACTGTTCAGTCTACCATTTAAACCCTGCCCAATTATTTTGGCTTGAAATATGTTCTAGTTCATGAGTTTGCTTTTCTCCTGAGTATATTTATTTCACTCTTATACCCTTCATTTTAGCTTCATATACCCATCCTAACTTGGCAATGTTCTTCATCCGAGCCCTTTCCAGGCACTTTTCTTTCTGTGTACCAGTGCTGTGGGGACTCTCTCCTTCCTAAGCATCTTATTTATCCTACCTTCTTGGTTGAAACTGGAAAAAGATAAGTTTCAAGGTAATGTATTGAGGTAATGCAGATGAGAGGTGATATGAGGGTGGGGATAATGGGTGTGGGGAGGAAGGCCTACTTTAGTGAATCCCTGTCTATGCTACTTTAGTGTACTTTCTGTAGCCACTAGCCAATGGTAAAATGAATTCATAGCCTTTCCTTACATTGATTATTTCCAGCATACCATTGAACTCCTATAATCATCTCTTCCTTGAAGCCCTATCATTTAACCCCAGTGATAATCTTTTCCATCTCTTATTTGGCTTCCATACATTTTTTTCCTTCTTCTCTATCTACTCCTCAGTTTCCTCTAGTATACTTTGGCAGACAATCCCTCCAAACTCTTTTGTTCCACAACCATCTTTTGCTCTCCTTTGCCTGATAGTCTTATTACGTACATTCCCTATGGACATCTTATTTTCTTTTCATGGCTTCAACTATCACATGTATGCAGGTAACTTCTAAATCTGCATCTCCTTTCCTGAACTCTCTTTTGGATTTTGTTCCAGACCCTGCAGTGACCGGAGTGATCAGAACTCAGGACTTATTCACAGGCTGGTACTAAAGTGTGCTTCTTTCTTTTTAGCTCTTTTTTTCTTCCCTTGCTTTTTAGCTCTTCCTTGAACTGTTCCTCAGTGTATTTTGGTTGTTTTCATATCATCCTGGCTTTCTTCAGCTTCCATTAAAACAAACAAAACTTTACTAAATCTCCAATTGGACACCTCAGAGATGCCATTTTATACCAAAAGCTCTCCCTCTTCCCCTTTGTCTTCATCTTCACAAGATCTCCTTTTCAGAGAATTCAAAGGAAACACTTAGCATTTGAAGATAATCACCATTTGTTTCCTTTAAGGCATTTAAAAGGCAAAATGCCAAATACTTACATTTTAAAAGTAAGTATTTGAGGAGCTGAGTGTCCCTGCATGCAGAGAGGAGGGAGAGTGGCGTGGTGAGGAGCCCAGATCTCTAACCTGAGAAACTGGAAAAATAGCAAACACTCAGTTCTTGGAGGTGTGGGACTAATTCACTCACTTCCCCAAATCACTTGAAATTTCTTTGGGTATTTTTCCTGGGAATGGTGTAAGGGAATAAGAAAGATAGAATTTAAGCAAAAACTAAGAAAAGTTAGACTTTCAAGACAAAAATTTTTTATCTCACTCTTTTAATCACACATAGACAGACTTTTTTTTTGTCTGTCCATAAACGCCAAGTTTTAATCCTCCCAGGGGGTGCACTGTTCCTGGAGGTACTGCAATAGTAGGTCGATGCGTGGACTGGACAGAGCAAGCTCCTCTTCCATTTTCCTGCTCCCCAAATCTATTTAATATATCGTCCTTGGATAGGAGATGTATCAGATATTAAACCGATAAGAACAGATACTACACTTGATCTTAGCCAAAAGGCTGAGAAGTGATAGACCTTTAAAAGCACATTTTACCTACAGATTTCCATGGAAACCAACCCAAGAGAAATTAGAAAGCAGACACATTGCTGTGCCATTTCTATGCGAATCAGTGTTGGATTTTCATTAAGCCAGCGTTGTTTTTCCAACAAGGTCTCAGTGTTTATTACAGCAACAATTACCTCAAGTAACAATTTCTCCAGATAGTTTTATTTTAAGGTCCCTAACTTATATACTTCACCCAACTGCTTTCAAAATTGTTCAGTCTTTTATGGTGGAAGTTAAAGTACCACCTTTATCTCGGCTCTGCTTCTGTACCACGGAACGTCAGTCTCTTTGAGAAACCTAACCCCAGCAGGGAAGTGCCACGACGGCATCCTTTTGATGTGATGCGCACGTTGCTGTACACCTTGGCTGCAAAGCAACGGCTGTGCTTTGAAACAGCCAAGAAGAGCTGGTGCATGCCGTTAGGCGAATTACAAGCATCGCAACTTGGACACGGAAGGATGCTTTCTCCCTCCCTTTAACACTAAAAACAGAGTTTAAAAAAGCCCCCACAAAACAAACAAAAAAACCCAACAGGCATCAAAACCGTCCAAGCGCCGAGGGAAAGCGCGCCAACCACACAAAGAAAAGGAGGGGGGCTACTGGGATTCAAAATCGCTTCGCCGGGACATACACTCTCCTCGACCTATCGGAGTTAACTGCGCGCTTGGTCGTAGCCAATAGACACAGGGTTTCTGGTCCAGGTCCGCCCTCAAGACTGATAGGCATTTACATAACCCAATGGAATAGTGTGACGCTAAAGAGTCAACCAATACGTTTGGGAGGTGGGTGGAGTGTGCACTAGGGGGTTGGCGGTGCCGTGTCATGGAGGCTCAGTCTCTGAGCAGCCATTGAAGGGGAAGGAACTGCGGGTGTGTGTATGCGTGTGTGTATGTGTGTATGTGTGTGCGCGCTAGTGTGTGGACAAGGAGGTGGGGGCAGCTGAGTTAGAGTCCCAACTCCTTGGACTCCATTTGCTATTCTCTTCTTTCTCCCCCACACCTATATGGTGGTAGTGGGCGTTTATATTTGCGTTTCTTTTCATTCATTTCCAAATTGAAATTTTAGGGTAGGGGGTAGTGGGAAAGGCAGGAAAGGGAAAGGGAGGAGAGTAGTAGCAGAAGAGCAGGAGGAGGACATGGAGATGAAGAAGAGGATTAACCTGGAGTTACGGAACAGAGCTCCGGAGGAGGTGAGATGACTCAGCCCCCACCCCTTCCCCACCAGTCCAACATTCTGAGGGTCGGATTTCTGGTGGTCCCGGTGGGTGGGTGGGGAAGGATAATAAGTTAACCCCCACCTGGGGTTTGGGTTGGGGAAAATGTTTAATTTTAAGTTTAAATCATTAAAATTCTCTACTTAAAATGGCGAAGGGTTTAAGTTTCTAGGGGCGTTTTTGTATGTGCGTGGGGGCTTAGACCCTTTCGGCGTGCTTCGAGTCTGACGTCCTGGCCTCGTGGGGGCGGGAAGCGGGGTGCCGTGTGGGCGCTCCGCCGCTTCGCTCCCCTTATCCCTTCTCCTGGGGGCCGCCGGCGTGGGCGCGACCCCCCAGTCTCACTCGCCCCTGCCGCAGCCATCGCTGCCTGAGAAGTTAGTCCAACTTTTCTGCGGTGCTGCCAACTCGTTTATATTTGTACGTGGGGGGCGGGTTCCCCCAGCTTCGAGGCCCCCGGCCACCGACGTCGCGCCGCGCGCGGGCTGGGGTCGCTCGCGGAGTACGTGCGCCGGCTGCGCCCACTCCCCCGGGAAGCGCGGCGCGCCGCCCGCCGCCCGCGGAATCTGGGTCAGCGGCGGGTTCTCGGACAGCGGGTGAGTTTTGTGACTCGTCGCAGTGACCGGAGGTGGGGAGGGGACGCGAGGCATAATCCGCTTCTTTCCCTGCGGTGTGGCGATATTCGGCATGTCGCGTGGTAGTGGCCACCACTCTGAATTTGATCCCTGGAGACGGTTTCACAAAAACTCAACAAATGGACCGTAGTAGTTTTGTGCTTTAAAGATGGGTTCGGCGAAACTAAATGATGCGCTCTCGCTGCTGTCGCTTTAGTTAAAGAGACGGAGTTGGGAGGGGCCACGTGAGGCGGGGTCGCGGTCAACTTTTCGGGGGTCGAGCGGGAGGTGTTTCCGCCTCTGTTTCGCCGGCGCCTCGTTAACCTCACCTAGCCCTCCCAGCCTCGGGCGGAGGCGCGAGGGGAGCGCGGGCCGGGAGGCGACCCCCTTTTTCCTTGGGGAGTCCCCGCCCCGTGTGGGGTTTCCCGTCAGTCGGAGCGGCAGGTCGAGAGAGCGGGGCCCCATGGCCAGCGAGGAGCCTCGCGCTAGGAAAGCGGCGTAGTCTTGCTCCTTTTAAGTCTCTAAAATAAGCCCTAAACTTGGAATATAAGGATAAGCCATGGAGATATAAATATATATTTAAACTGGGGTGGTGCCTGTGCATACCAGCATAGAGGAACTGAGTCCGTCTGGGCTTTCGGGTTCGGCACGCATACTTTTTTTTTTAAGTCTTCTGTTTTTCTGAAATTGGCAGGGGCCAGGGAGGAGGAAACAGTCGCTTGCTATCAGGGTCATCCCAGAGAGAACTTGAAGTTTCTGGAGCTTATTCTTAGGGGCTTCAGGAAAAAACAACAAGATGAAACTTTAAAAGCCATCTCTCAGAAGCACAAGTTTAGGGTACTTTTTAATGTCTTGGGTTGGAAAAATGGACACCCCCGCCTTCTGCATTCTTTTACTTAGAGATCGTAGTAATTTCTTTGCCAGTTTTGGGGAGTGCAGGACGTTGCCTTTTTGTAGCTTCTTCCGTTGTGGTATAATAACGGTCTCTTATATTTGTATAGACAGTTTACAGAGCACTTTTCGTGTTTGTTGTTTACTTTCTTCCTCCGGACACACTTGTAAGATGGATTGTATTCTAGAATCCAAATTAGCAAACAGTCTCAGGGCAGTGAAGTGGTTTACTCAGGTGGAAGAACTGGTTTTCTGATACCAAATCTAGTAGCCCTCTCACCCCTGAGCTAAACAGGGAGTCCGAAGACTTAGAGTCAGGCACAGCTCTGCCACAGGCTAATTGTGTGACCCTAGGCAAGTCATTCTTGCTGCGTGGGTCTTGGTTTCCTGTCTCTAAACGGCAGGTCATGATGTCCTCTCTGGTCACAGAAATAATTATATCAAAATCATATTCAAATAGAGAAGGTGGCATCCATGTTGCTAATTTTTAGCCCTCAAATCCCTCAAACATATTTTTGCATTGGAGATAGAGAACAGGATCCTGCATCCCCCTTAAGATTAAGTCCATTCAGGCCGACACCAGGAAGTTTAGTTACTACAACTCTGACCCAATAGGGAATTCAGCCCACTTCCCTCTAAGAATGGGGAAGAGTCCACAGAAATGCTACCAGAGTGACAGGGAGAAATAACATTTTGTCAAGGATATTGTTCTGGGTGATATTGTTTGACCTCGATGTTGGAACAAATAACACCCAAAAGCTGGGCTGTTCCAGAAGGAGCTTTCTCATATTTCTTCATGAAGGGTAACAAGGTTTTATTGAGTTATGATGGTATTTATCTTAGTTAGCTAATTAACCAAAGATAAGTGGGTTTAAACTGAAAAAGTGATTAAACAGTTTTCTCTCTTCTTTTTTTTTTGAGACAGAGTCTCACTCTTTTGCCTGGGCTAGAGTGAGTGCCATGGTGTCAGCCTAGCTCACAGCAACCTCAAACTCCTGGGCTCAAGCAATCCTACTGCCTCAGCCTCCCGAGTAGCTGGGACTACAGGCATGCGCCACCATGCCCGGCTAATTTTTTCTATATATTTTTAGTTGTCAGATTAATTTCTTTCTATTTTTAGTAGAGACGGGGTCTCGCTCTTTCTCAGGCTGGTTTCGAACTCCTGAGCTCAAACAATCCGTCCGCTTCGGCCTCCCAGAGAGCTAGGATTACAGGCGTGAGCCACCACGCCCGGCCTCTCTTCTTTTTTTATCTTTTATTTTTTATAAAATGTGTGACTCAAGAGTTTTCTCTCTTCTTAAATTTTAGGGCAGCTTACTTGAATCTTTTCCCAATAAACCACATATCCCCTCAATGCATAAATATATGCCCAATGTTGAATGTCCTTATCAGGGTCAGAAACAGGTTTCACACGGAACTTTTTCAAAGTTTTGGTGTTTTTGTTGTTGTTATTTTTGTTTTGAGATAGCGTCTCATTCTGTCACCCCAGCTAGAGTGCAGTAGCGTCATCATAGCTCACTGCAACCTCAAATTCCTGGACTCAAGTGATCTTCCTGCCTCAGCCTCCTGAGTAGCTGGGACTACAGCTGTGAGACTCTGTGCCCAGCTAATTTTTCTATTTTTTTGTAGAGATGGGGTCTCGCTCCTGCTCAGGATGGTCTTAACCTCCTGTCCTCAAGTGATTCTCCTGCCTTGCCCTCCCAAAGTGCTAGGATTACAGGCAGGAGCCTGGCCCAAAGTTTTGTTTTTTATGCCTTGGTGATTTGAAGCAGGCATTGAACTTCTTAGTCCAAGTTTAAATTTAAAAGATTGCTTATAGTGATGACTTTAGATTGTATATCGGTTTTGGGGGAAAATGAAGCAGATCTGTTTAAGAAGATTGGTGATTTTTTGTTTTGTTTTGTTTTTTTAACCGATGGGCAATCAAACTTGAGATTGGTGGTTTTAATATTCACATTTCCCAAATGTAAGACCCTGGTCTATTGCTAAACAGATTGCAAACTAAAGAATCATTAATGTGTTCCCTCTTACAGGTGACAGAGTTGGTTCTTGATAATTGCCTGTGTGTCAATGGGGAAATTGAAGGCCTGAATGATACTTTTAAAGAACTAGAGTTTCTGAGTATGGCTAACGTGGAACTAAGTTCACTTGCCCGGCTTCCAAGCTTAAATAAACTTCGAAAAGTAAGTTGGCATTAGCATGCAGGCATCATGATTTCAATGCCAAAGGCTATTCTTAATATGTCTCATTTTTGGCCAAATGAAATGACCATTCTGCCTGTTAATTAGAAGGTTTTAAGTTTCTAAAGATAAGAAAAAGGATTATATAGGATCTTGGAATCAGCTCTAATATTGCTTTTAGAAATTTAAATTTAATAGTGGAATTGCTTTATAACATGAATTTAGATTTAATGTCTACCAAATATTTTTCTCTGAGTCATAAAATCCAAATGTTATACAACTAGAACCAAAGCTGGGATGGGAGCCCATTATGTAATATAAGAGTTCTAATATATTATTTGGCAGATGTAGATGGGAATTTGGAAATTAATGATTTGTAATGACAGTCTCCTGAAGCCAGAGGGAATGACAGATGTTTCTTTTCTTCCAATTGTTATACTTTTAAAATCTTTGATCTGATGCCTTCACCATTGTTTATTTTACCCCCATGTTGAACATATAGTTGGAGCTTAGTGACAATATAATTTCTGGAGGCTTGGAAGTCCTGGCAGAGAAATGTCCAAATCTTACCTACCTCAATCTGAGTGGAAACAAAATCAAAGATCTCAGTACAGTAGAAGCTCTGGTAAGTGGAACGGTCCTGTTTGTGGACTTGCTTTTTTTGGTTAAATTTTGTGAGATTTGTATCTTTTTTTTTTTTTAGACAGTCTTGCTCTGTAGCCAGGGCTAGAATGCAGTGGCATCATCATAGCTCACTGCAGTTTCAAACTCCCGAGCTCAAGCGATACTCCTGCCTCAGCCTCCTGAGTAGCTGAGACTACAGGCATGCACTGCCATGCCCAGCTAATTTTTCTATTTTTTTGTAGAGATGAGGTCTTGTTATTGCTCAGCCTAGTCTTGAACTCCTGGCCTCAAGCAATTTCTCCTTCCACCTAGCCTCCCAAACACCTGCTAGGTTACAGGTGTGAGCCACTTCACCTGGCCTGTATCTTATCTTTTTTTTTTTTTTTTTTTTGAGACAAAGTCTCACTATGTTGCCTGGGCTAGAGTGCTGTGGCGTCAGCCTAGCTCACAGCAACCTCAGACTCCTGGGCTCAAGCAATCCTACTGCCTCAGCCTCCCGAGTAGCTGGGACTACAGGCATGCGCCACCATGCCCGGCTAGTTTTTTCTATGTATTTTTAGTTGTCCGATTAATTTCTTTCTATTTTTTTTTAGTAGAGACGGGGTCTCGCTCTTGCTCAGGCTGGTTTCGAACTCCTGAGCTCAAACAATCCACCCGCTTCGGCCTCCCAGAGAGCTAGGATTACAGGCGTGAGCCATGGCGCCCGGCCTATCTTATCTTTTTAATTTCTATTTAACTCCTGAAACTTGTGAATTTCTTACGTTGTGATCTAGACTGTTACTGCTTTCTTTTCTTTTAGAGTAAAATATTCAGGTGAATTTTTAAATCAGTGAGAAATTTATTTTTATCATCAACTTCAGGAGTTGACTATCTGGTTTTTAAATTTCTGGCATTTTCTTAACTTCTTCCCTCTTGATTTTTTTTGAGTTAGTTTATTATTTGCCCCATTATTTCTCAGTATGAGGAAAGGAAAGGAAGAAATGAAGCTCTGAAAATTGTTGGTCTCATTTTTAAAAGATTGAGAGGAGGTTGAAATTGTTGAAAATAAGCTTGTTTGTGGATTTAAGTTGACCATGGTATTATTGTTGCCTAATTATGTACAGATTCAGTCAACAAAAATAAGTGCCTCCTTTAAGTAAGGTACTAAGACAGATGCTGGAGATACAACAGTGAACAAAACTAAGTTCTTACTCTTTTGGAGTTTATATACCAGGGGCTAATTAAGAGAGTTGGCTGTGTTTGATATAATCTTAAAATTCTAAAAATCTAAAAATCATTCTCTATTTAAAATATATATTTTCTGGATAATGAATTAAAAAGAAAGAAGATGATATTTTAAATCTTGAATGTAAGTATTAACTTTACTTTTCCAGCAAAATCTTAAAAATTTGAAAAGTCTTGACTTGTTTAACTGTGAGATCACAAACCTGGAAGATTATAGAGAAAGTATTTTTGAACTGCTGCAGCAAATCACATACTTAGATGGATTTGATCAGGAGGATAATGAAGCGCCAGACTCTGAAGAGGAGGATGATGAGGGTAATCATTCTTAATACTCATAAATGTGTCATAATTATAGCCTCCACTCTAGCCGTGCAAATTAGATTGGGCCTAGAGATTTAGGTGTGAGAAAAGCCACAACAAGGCATTAGTAAGACAAGAAAAATTTAAAAACCCACAGCTCTAGCCTGTATTTCTTCTTTCAGATTTCTAAGTTGCAGGGAACTTAATGATTATTATAACATGAAGTTTCATGAAATTTCACATCTGTATAAACTTGTGTAACCACCACCCAGTAAAAGTGGCAGCTTCCTAAATAATGCTTTTTAAAAAAAAGAACCATTCATAATAGCCCCAAAGCAGAAACAACCCAATGGCAACTTCCTAAATAATGCTTTTTTAAAAAAAGAACCATTCATAATAGCCTAAAGGTGGAAACGGCCCAAGTGTCTATCAACTGATGAATGGATTAAGAAATATGATTTATCATTACTATGTAATATTATTCTGCCATAAAGATGAAATAGTGATATATGCTGTATCAATGAACATTGAAAGTGTTCATTGCAGCATCACCACTTCGGAATATTCTCTGCAATCCTGCCTGGGTAGTTTGATGCAAATGTGATCATATCACATTTGCATGTGATCATATCACATAGTCTTCTTGAAACCCTTTCACGTTTCCCTGTTGCCACCAAGACGTACGTACAAGGCCCTTTATTACCTGGCCTCTGTTTCCTTCTCTAGCCTCTTCTCCCTCAATACAAAATTAAAGCATCTCACCAAACTGAGTGAAAGAAGCCTGACACAAAAGTCCTCATATTGTTTGATTTCATTTATATGAAAAGTTCAGAATAGGCAAATCCATGGAGACAGAAAGTAGATTATTGGTTGCCAGGTGCAGGGGGGAGAAGAGAATAAGGAGTGACTGCTGCTAATTGTGGAGTTTCTTTTTAAGGTGCTGAAAAATATTCTAGAATT